GCACATCAACTTTAATCTGTTCTCCCATTGATTTTAATACTCAGACAATCAATGATTTATCCATAAATATCATAAATATATATGGATTTTTAACACTCAAACAGATACATACACACACTCGTTTCCCCTATGTGCTTGCTTCCTGTACGCCTGCGGATTTTGTTAATCTTTAACAATAAACTATCTCTATAACTGGTGTTCAGACTTTTGAATAATCCCGAGTAAATCCATAATTCTACTGAGAAATGTAGCCTACATTAAATACTCAGTTAACGGGATACTATTTGTTGGAGTCAGATATAGAGGAAATTAACCTCTACAAAGTTGGTGAGCCGCATTTGGAACTTGCACCATTTCTCTACAAAGTATGCTGCATATTCTCCGATCGTTCACATTGGAATTACTATTACAATTATTAACAATTCATTGAGACTCATAATAAACTCACTCATAATATTGTTCCTTTGGAAGTTCATGTACAGACATGTGCTCAATCAGAATCATACAGAAATTTACAGAGAGGATTAAGTGTCTAAATTATAGTGAGAAGATAAATAATACAGTAGTTGAATGGGCCTACTACAGGTTCTGTCATCAAAATCAGTCTACTTATTTATTTTCATATAAACATCGAGTGGTCTGATAAAGTCATTTGTCATACACTGATTAATAAATACCTATTATCAACGCAAAGTTAATGTAATGATAAATATCCATTATTCTGATCTAACTGATTAAACTGTTTACATTAGTTTGAAAATGAAATCCGATCATTTACGCTTGCTAATCAGTTTTTATTGGAAATGAATAGAAGCGCAAGACTACGTTCGTACTCAGTGTTTTTCTTACATTGTATTACTTAGGTTTTTAATTAAGTATAATAATCATTCAGTATAATACACGTTTTTATCTCAGTTTCATATTTTGTTCAGCATACTTTTTATTTAATATGATGTTCGTTTTAATTCAATGTGATAATTATTTAATATAACAGCCGTTCGTATTAATTTAGTGTGAATTTTATTCAGTAAACATCTAGCATGCATCAATTCTCATATACCAACTAATGATCGAATTTCAGTAAAATCGATGTATGAAGTAATGTATATCTTATTTTGGAGAGTGGATGAAATCGTCATCTACACTCAGTTCTTAACCGCTGATTTGAGCCTCAAAAATCTATTTTCCTGTTTCGAGAGAACCAGTTCTTACAGATACTACAAATTTGACAATTCCATTTTTACTACTTAAAATATTTATAGTAGTATAATATAGACATCGTTTTGCACCACTAAATAATTTAACTGCTAAGTCAATGAACTGATATTCTCCTAGTACTCGACATATAGCCTGCTCCACCAAGTAGTCACACAGTGTTTAGCATGGGAAATAGATGTATGTATTGCAAATAACCGGTAAAATGGACATACTACTTGAAACCTTACACTGATATTTCCGAAAAATTTATTTTAACATCGTGACCAACTATAAAAAATACTTTAAATAAACAATATCTGATGAGCATTTGCGTAGTTACCTCACAAATTAAAATTGAAATCTTTTCTAGATACATTTTGAAAATCATGTCCAGTATTTAAACCATACCGAAAAAAATGTCTTATTCAATAATCCAACGACGAAAATTTTGTCTTATCAACGTACTTAGAACCTTTGTCAGTGGAAGTATTTATTATCATTTTTCTTTGAAAGAAAACATTTTGACCATTAACAATATACTGAAAACGATGAGGCAAATTATCTCAACAGATAATTCATACCTGTACCAACATATTTTGAAGCAGAATACAGGCAATTTAATATGTGACCTAAATTAAATGGGTATTTCAAGGCGTATGAATGAATTGGGATTGACAAATACACTTGGAGTTTTGATTCATTTTTAGACTATTTCTAGTCATTTAACATTTTTGAAGCTTTTTAAATAAAATTATTTGTGGTTATTAAAATTGGTTCTTAGTATTGTTCACTTGAAAAGTGTTTATTATTCCTGATTTAGAGTTTGATTACTTAATGCTGACTTTTGTATCTCTATACCGAGAATTCGTAAATCTCTTAGTCAAACGTTTTTATTAAAATTCTTCTTAAAATACTGTCGAATAAGAAATGATTATTTGAAATCAACCATCTGAACGTTGTAGGGAATAAACTTTACGGTATAGTTGTAGGTAGGAAAAGTGTTTTTCGAAAAAGAGTCATTATTCAAATGAAAATGTATTAGTTTTCATTTAGAAACTAAACAAAACAATTCACAGAGATTGTCTATAATTATTTCATAAGCCACCTTAAATGGCTAGATCGAAAACATTTTACTGACTAGATTATACTGACAACTTTTAAATAATTATTAGGTGATTAACGGTTCGTTCGTCTCCAACCGGAAAAAACAGAGATATCTCCTAGATTTTACGTTAGAGATCTCGAAATTCTGTTAACAAACAAGTTATGATACTTTAGGAACCATACAAAGTTAATGGGACATTTGAAAAATAAAAGTGTTTATTCTTTATGAGATAACTGTCCATCATTCGATATACTTGTATAATTAAGATAAATAAAAGCAAATTTGTTTCTTTAGCTGAAATACATTTCTAATCTGTATCAATTTAATTTCACCGAATCAAAAACAGTTGTAAGAACATGAGATTCATAAGATAATGAGCGATTCGTTCTTTTTTTATTATTCTACCATGGGGTTAAAAGATTGGAAATAGATTTATGATGTCAACTATGTACATATTAATATATATTTCGAAATGATAACAATTATTAACTAAAAACTAAAAGTTTGAGACATCAAGGAAAAGCTTGAACCAGATCGCCAGGCAGAACGTTGGATTTACTTCAAATTGTTTCGTTGAGATTTTACAAATACATTCTTCCTCTTTAATGATTGACATTAACTGGGGGCCCAAATATTGTGAAACTGTTCGTTCAAATGTAGACTAAAGTTCTTATTTATTAAAGGTTTGAGTATTCTGAAAAATATTTTCCAATGAAATCTATTAAAAGTTAAATTGTTTTGTTGGCTCTACCATTTTGTTTAGTGATGTATTTAAAAAGAAAAATAGAATTCCTTGTAGTTTAATTGGTGGATCTCGAAGCTGCAAGAAATTGGTCATTTGGAGTTTTATTTTTTTTAATGAAATTTTCACAGATTGAAATCATGAGTCAGTTGAAGCTAGACCACCATTGAAAACCTGGCCGTCCAGTGCTTCCAGGTTTTCAATGGTGGTCTAGCTTCAACTGACTCATGATTTCAATCTGTAAAAATTTCTAAAATCTTCATAAACCCCCTCTGATATTATGAAATTATTTGTATTGAAAAATGTTATCCTAGTAATTGAATAAGTATTGATAAATGATTTGAATATTAGATAATGATTACATTTTGTTGCACATAGATTTAACTTAATTGTAAAATGTGATCGATAGACGAACCCATTGATAATAAAGGGAAACGCCACCACCACATTAACTTCTTTTGACCTTGTACGACTGTATTATTAACCAATCACAGTTTAATGTTCATTGTTAAACAATATTTGCTTGTTGACTCATTTTCCTATTCTCTGGCTACTGTTCGGTATGTTATTTGTCTCTGTTTTTCCTTGTATTAATAGACCGTACTGTTTGTTTGTACACTATGTTAATTTATGTTTTAGAAACAGATAAAGTTTATCTAGTCAAATAGCTTGCTTGTTCTGACTTTGGCCAAACAAAGACTCTGTATTCGACGGTCTAGAGAATAGCTCAGAATTAAACCTGTAGGAAATTGCTCTCTTCAATAATATCATTTTGTAAGTTTAATTTAACCAACGAAACAACCATAGTCTTCTCCTTTTTAGACAAATATGAAAACTATATTTTCTCATTCCTCATGAAAAAATGAGATATATATCCAAGATATTAATAATTCAATCTATAATGAAGTCTTCAATTTAAGAGCTAAAATTATTCCTTAAACCAATTATCTACTTATAAGTAACAACCATTATTACGATGATTATGCTAAGGATATTCAACTGAACTCACTGTCATGAGAATTTTTGTTATGAGCATAATGTCTATGTCTGAAATTCAATAAACATCAAAACGAATAATTGGTAGCACATGTTGATCAAATGAACTAACGATAATCATTATATTACCCTATATTCAATCATTCTTAATTGTAGGTAAAATATGCCTGTAAACATGTTTCATAATATGTTTACAGTTTATAACATAATTAACTGTTTCCAAGCTCAATGTTCATTTATGTACATTAAATAATCTAGATTAAAAAATTATCAGACCTATGGTTTCTCTGAGTGATAAACGCTTTCGTGAGAAACAGCATGATTCTATTCATGTTTAACTCACTATTTGGTTTGAACAATCATCTTTTGAATACAGTATGACTTAATAATACAAAGAATAAATCATCCACCAAAAACAAAGACCTTTATAATATTTGTGCTATTACCTAATATATTATCAAGTAATGTCCTCTGAATGACATATATACAGTAGTTTTTTCAACAACAAAATATTCAACTCCATCACTTGTTATATTTATGGAATGAATAGAATCAATAACAAGCAACAACAACAACAACAACAGAACACAACTGAAATTCTACTAACTCCTAGACACATTTCACTAGATTTTAATAAAAACAAAAATTGAAAATAACAACAATAAATAAAAAGCACATATCATAAATTGATGAAAAGAATACATGAAAATAAACAATTAATCTATAAGACTTAGAGAGCAAAAAAAATAATAATAAAAAATAAAAATATATTTTTTTCAATCAAATAGTCATATGATTACACGATTAATTGTAAGAAATAATAATAATAAGATACTACTGATATAACTGTCAATAATTTATACAACTGTCATTGAAAATGAAAACGAAAGAAAAACATTTCAAATCATTTTTAATATATATTACTAAAATCACTATGACAACTAAATCATGAATAATAATAATAATAATAATAATAATAATAAAAACATACAATATATCACTGAAGATTAATTTTCTTTTTAAAAAAGAACATTTTATTTATTCGAAAATGAAAATATTCATCTCTTCATTATTGATCAGGGAAAAAATAATAATTTTATGGAAGAATTAAAAAAAAACACAACTAAATTACGGAAACAAAATACATTTACAATGGAATAAATAAATTACGTATGGATTGTTGATATTCGTTGATAATTGAGATCATTATGTAACAGAATTTTGACAAATTCGGCTATGAATACACAATAGATCACGTAAATACTAAATGAAATTATTTTAATGAAAATAAATAAATAAACAAACAAGAAAATTTTGTTAATCATTGATCTAATGTTCAGTTAAAAAAATGTTAAAAAAAGTTGGTTGAATAACGTAATTATTTACAAGCAATGTATAAACAAATGCAAATCTAATAAGTCATGGATCTCCAAGAGTTATTTCCTGGAGTTCTAGTGAGAAGCCGTTACCATTGGAGTTCGACCAGGTCTGTTGTGAGACAATGATGAACGGTGGTGCTATTTAGTGGTTTGGTTGAAGTTAGACACTAACACCGTTGGATGCTGCTTCAGTGATCTAAATGCTGAGCGTATGCGCGTGCGAGACCATTGATGCGCACTGCTGAGGAGTTCCATACTAGGATGAAACGGCCGTCCAGTACTTCCAGGTTTCCCATGGTGGTCTAGCTTCAATTGACTCATGAGTTCAATTAATAAATCATAGATACTTTATATTGAGAAACAATTATGAAATTATTTAATATTCAACTTTATACAAATGTAAATACGATGTATATCCGATCACGTATGAATAAGCTAGTTTTAAAGAGTAAGAGTTATTGTACAAAATCAAATGATAAACTATGAAGTACTGTGTCAGGTTACCATAAAATAAATATGAATATGGCAGAATTGTGGAAAAAATACAAGCACAGGAACAAAACACTACGATATTATTTATCGTGGGGATTCTTACGTGACCATTTGAATCAGTTATGGTTGGACGATAATGATATATATATATATATATATATATATATATATATATATATATATATATATATATATATATATATATATATATATATATATATATATGATTTTTATCTAAATATACATCCCGGCTACCCTAGTACATAGTTATCGACTTAAATTGCGTTAAGGAATGACGGAATTAAATAAGTAAAATATTAGAATACATATATTTCAAACAAATGTCGATCCGGACAAACACCTAGAGAAACAAAGTGATGCGCATCAGAAAGGCAAGTGAGTCAACTGAATTTGATCAGCTGTGACTCAATATTTATATTCAGACAAAAATAAGTTACAGACACGTAACTAATAGAGCTATCAATTAACACACATACGATTATATAAAAGCACTTAGAGTTAACAAGCGAATAATTGATAAGGTCAAAATGTGACTTGAGAAGAATGAATAGATTGATCTGTCGAAAAGCTAGAATAGCCTATATGGACTTGACATAGTACCGACCACTACAGACTTTAAACGTTTGGATCAACGGTATATTAAAGACCAAAACGAGTGTTTCGGATATGTACGTTTCATCACACAATCGATATTTCATGCAGACAGCAAGAGATGCAGTTCAGAGAAAGATTCTTTATCCCATTCAATCGTAATGAATATGAATGAGAATTAATTGCTGAACTGTTAAAAGGATGCTAAAGTCAGATAACGAATAAATTACATGATCAGTTGGCATAGCCACATATAAAGATAATCGAAATTACAAGTGAATAGTTGACAAAAATATATGTGTAAATAACAACCCAAAATGATCATAATTTGTCTGTCCAAAAGTTTAAAAAAACCCACTTGAATCACTACAGTTCCACATCAATGATTGATATTTGTTGATAAAATAATTATTTTAGAAAGCTAATATATTTATTTATCGCGTTAATAGAACAAATATAAACCCGTTCATTTAAAAGAAATGGATATGATGAACAGTTATTCACAAGTTTATGAATAGAAAATGAAAACTAAACAGTTCAACAACCGAATATTTTTGATTGAGATCATGAACCGTTTGATGTTAGATCACCTTTGGAAACCTGGAAGCACTGGACGGCCGTTTCGTCCTATTGTAGGACTCCAGGTTTCCAAAGCTGGTCTAGCATCAAACGGTTCATGATCTCAATCAAAAACTTTATGATCTCCACAACCCCTATACTAGTAAACAACCAAATATTTCTCCAAGTAAAAGATATAAAACGTTTTTGAATTTATGAATAAAGAAAGCGGGATTTATGTGATGTTTGTTACTACATCTGTCATTAAGAGGGAAACACAAAAATATACAGACACTCGATACTTAACAATCTACAAAGAATACTGGTTTACTTTTATTATTAATAGTCTATTATCAAAACCAGACATACAACATGTTAGCTTAAATTGGTCAATCAGTAATTATCAACGTAGAGACAGGGACGGATCCGTATTGGCACAAGTTACCACATTATATTAGCACAGTAAGATGAAATTAATAAGAAGTATAGAAAAAGAGACCGAAAAAATACAGTAGAAATAACAACGCAAAAGAGTGAATATTAAGAAATCTGGTTCGAAAAGACATAATGTAAAGGTATGCATTACTAAATGCTGGAATTCAGGATTGAGAAGAAACTAAGAAGAAGGAGTACATCCTCGCCGTTTTAAACGATTATGAGCAATATCACTTAATTTCTTCAGATATTTATAGTCATTGTCGCATGGATCCCAATCAGATACTCTTCATCTACCAATATGGCTCAGATCGACAGTCAATGACTTCATGGACTAATGCTTTATCCTGCACTGACTGGTCCTAGCTTTTTTCTGGCTTACTCCTAAACCAGAAAACAGCAACTGTCGGGGTAGATGGTGGTGACCTATGTCATACCAACCTCAACAGATAAGGATTCATAACTTAATGCCTATTATCTGAATTCATGGAATCGTTAGTGATGTAGACGAAATATGTATCTAACTTTCACTATACATATTCCGACGAAAAATCCCGTTAATATCAAAGTGGATATTTATATTTTATACGATCATTTTGTCATGCACATGTGCCTACTCAAAATATAAAAAAACGTTAATGCAACTCAACAAAGAAAACGAATAGCGCATCAAAGAGACTGGTGCTGGATAAGATAATAGGTGTACAGATATACACACAAATCCGTCTTTATAAGCGTATAATTACAAGGACATGAATACAAAAGGTATGTGTGCTGACGGCTACAACGTTTAGGAGACAAAAAAGTTGTTAGAATGGTTAAAATGACCCAATAGGCACATGCTGTCTGAAAGTTTGGATAAATAATGCAACTGTACAACAACATATAAGTTGCTACAATAACTTTATCAGACGACGAATCATCTAAGTCAAGTTCCTGATGTATAACTTCAACACTACTAGCTCGATTGTTAGACGAAAAGCAAATGATGCCTCAAATACATCTATGATTAAAAACCTGCAGTGTAAGCATCTCTTCTACTTTCAAGGGTTGTGTTTCACAGACACAAAGTAATATAGTGGGAATTATTGACCAATATACGCTGTCTTTGGTTAGTTAACGGGCATCTTGCCTATACCGCGAGTAAAGAAGCTTACGAAAAACTGACTGATCTTCTTGAATCTCTACCGAGACATTATTAGATACAAATCCGTTAAGGCTGATGAAACTTCCATGACAAGCAAAGTGCTTAACGTATTTAACTAATTCACTCCATGTTATTAATTCTGATTGATTTGTAACTTGTCCATAAAAGTCAATGAAAGAGACACAAAAAACCATGATTTGTATGAACTATAGTTCGGAGCATCAGAACAAGTGTATCTTACGAGTACAAATCAGCTTTCGATATTACTGAGAGATTTCACAGTGAATTTTCAAAACTTCCAAAAAAGTCACTTCTAAAGGCTATGAGACGTACAAGAACTCAAAAATTGGTCGAAAAGTAGAAAATTTCTATACGACATTATCAGTTCATTATGAAAACTTTAAGTAATTAGTAGATTCTACAACATTCTGATGTTGAAAAAAAAACATTCTAGACCAATGATTCTGAAAAATCATAAACAAATTCTGCCCTTCCTTTCAGTGTTTATTCACGCTCGAGGTATTTTATTGTAAGTTATTATACCGGAAATACTTAACACAAAACAAATTGAGCAATATTTTATACAAAAATTAAGCAACAAAAGATTCATCTCGAGTAAAAGTTTGTGTCATCTGACAACGAGTAACGATGAATATAACAATTGCTTACCAGTTTTAGATTCATCATAAACAATTCTTTCAAACATAAAATATCTAATCTGTAGCGAAAAAAAGTTATTACCAATGTGAAAGCAAGTAAAAAAACAACCACTAGAGTTAATGAATTCAATACAGAATTACCAACCTTAATGACGGAAGCTGATCCATTTTTTGTTATATCAACAGGCATTTGTTTGAGACTACAACCATCAATACCCAGAAATCGCAGAGAAGGCAGCATTCCTAATTCAATAGGAAGCAAATCCAATGGCTTATTATTTGATAGATACAAATGTGTTAAATTCTGCAGTTTGCCTGGAAAAGTGATTAGAACAAAATATATGGAAAATAAATAAGTGGTATCGAATATGAAATAACACTACACAACAAACAGATTCTCATACGCTTCCAATCTTCAGGTTATACTTTAACTACTTAATAATTCATAAGTAGTGTACATATTTCTGCATCATTTGTAAGCCTTTGGTTCGGCGAAATCTAAAAATAATATGGCTGACGAATTTATGGAGATAAATAACATTCAAATGATATTTCCAGCCTCAATATTCAGGAGGTGTTATCCCTCAAAAAGCACTCTCATTTTTAACATTATTACTCACATGACTTTCAGTTTACGTTAATAACATTTTTCAGTTGACATAAGTTTAGTACTTACCGATTTCAGGTGGTAAACGTTGAAGAAGATTGTCTTTCACTCTCAGTTTCCTTAAATTGTTCAGATTTCTTTAAAAATCGAAAAACATGCATAAAATAAACTACGAAAGTGAAAAAAAAGAAATGTCAAGACTTTTAAAATGATTAAAAGTACTTACGATATTCCTGGTAGTGAATTTTAGGACTTACTAGGCTATATATGTAATTAATCGGTATATATTAGAAAGGATGGTATGCAAATACAGTTCATTCTTAATTTGAGGTGAGTAAAACGACTGAAAGACAGACTAACTTTAAGCCGCTAACATAAGCAAATTAACCGAATTATTGCTTATAATGTGTGCTATCCAAAATAGACGTTGACATAAAACAATACAAATTCCAGTCCGTTGTCCGAGAGATTGGAATCATACTTCGCTCTGCCATTTATTTGCAGACAATAAGCTTCAGTTCCTACACTAAGTAAATACCGGTTTCCAACTAAAGTGTCTTATATGTTATGATACAACGTGGTATTAATTCGACTTTCGCAGAGTACTTATGTTCTTCTTGCATTGCTTATCACAAATAACTCTGCTTATAAAATTGATGACTATTAAAACGTATGCTTTCATATCAATATTGCACTCGAAAATTTCATTGCCCATGATAATCCATTTTGTCTAAATCAAATGCTGTACACTATTGACATATTCATCACTAATGCCCAGTCAAAGTAATTTATGAAATATGTCACGTCAAATAATGCACTTTTACGTTCTAAATGTTGTACACGTTTTATTACAACCAGATTGTGCCTGAAAGATGATGTACATCTTGTAATTACTGTCGATATATATATATATATATATATATATATATATATATATATATGAGATGCGCAACTTTCACACTCGTTATATTTTTAACTAAAAAGTTAAACTAGTAGTAATGTTTGTTCTCCGTAATTAATGCAGAGCCTCTGTTGCCATTTTACACAACGTTATCATATAGTAATGATTTATTTGATTATTCCACGATGATTATCTCAAAGTACTCTGGTGGCCTTCTCTTTGTTTAGTTGTCTTCAGATATTTTATTAACTTCAAGACTCCTTTAGATCCATTTAATCATTTTGTCCAGTCGACTTCTGATCAAGTAACCTTTTCCAGTTAGACTCGCCTACGAAACCATTTTTACTCACGTAGGACAATTGAACTCAGAAAAATGATTATCTCTACACTTTATCCTTTTGATTAATAATTAATTGATTGACAAAATTGTTTTAACACAGTAATTTGACAGAATCGCTGTCGCACTGTTTACAAATTAATAATAATAGGTGTATTTACAAAAAAAGAATGGAAAAAGTAACTGATTTTTATCGAGATACTCAACAATACATAAATAATAAAATGCAAATGTTTATTCAGTAAGATACTATAACATTCTCGTAACTCGGTACAGTACATATTTGCCTAAATAAATTATTATCGATGTGTTTAGGTAAATTAAGTAAACTTAAATAAACAGTAACGCACATCGCATAATGTTTTTCTATGTTTGTAGGTATCATTACTAGGTTCGACTTGATGTATTCGAATAAATTGAGCAATGAGTAGATTGATATAAATAAATGAATACAGTTGTAATATCTCAATGAGTAGAAAAATTAAATTTTCTGACGTTTCATGACTCAATGTAAGCCACTTCTTCAAAGAATAAATAACCAAATCAAAATTAATCCAAGTTTAAATAGTTTAAATAGTTATATATATAAACATAGTAAAATTGGAATATCTTAGAAACAATAGGTGTATCATCTTGTAAAATCGAATATATTGTTGTGTTAAACCAAAATAAATAGACCATTAAGATCACGAACTGATCTAAGTTAGACAACTGTTGAGAACCTGAAGACCCTGAATAGCTATTTCATCCTAGTGCAAAACTATTCAAGAGTACACATCACCGACTACACAACCGAGAGCCAAACCCAAGACACAATGACTTAAATATTAGGCATTTTCGTTAAGAACCACAGGTTCCGGGTCCTATTCCATGTTGTGGAGTATTGGATTTGAGCTGATGAGAAAATCCATACTAAAAAGTAACGATCATTCAGCGCCTCCCAAGTTCCAATGGCTGTCTAACTTAGTTGGGTTTATAATACTAACCAACATCAACAATCTCCAAAACCCTATGCTGACAAGTAGACTATATTCTGAGTTTTCTGAAATTTTAAATATCTTTAACGGATTACTAAAAGAACCCATCTCAATGTTGATCGGTTTTTCCTTCTGGGGTTTATAACCAATGTTAAACGACCCGTTTCATTACTGAAGGCGATTCTCAGCAAAAACTGACACCAGCCAAATAACTGATAAGAACGAAAAAAGCTAAAGAGCTATTTTTCTCTTGTTTGAATTATCTCAGTTCTAACGAGGTTGGACACGAAACTATAATGGCATTTGATGTCCAGAGTAGCTGTAAGTTATAAATTAGATATCCATAGATCAATATCACCGGCGTTAGTTAACTTTAAATATAGCACTATCATTTAATAGTTAATTATCATCTCACTCCTTACATTTATAACTCTAAAAATCACATCTTTTCTGCATAATACTTCAAAAAACCTGATGTATAATGAGCACATAATAGATTTGCTTATTATCTAAAACGTTTGTGTAACATAAAAGTGAACTAATTAAATCCTACAAACTTCATAGTGTAAAGCAGAAGTTCTATAGAAACAATATAGAATTCGATTATTATAAAGGTAACTAAACACTTTAAAATCATTTCAGTACAAAAACTAAATACATACAACACTATTATTATTTTACTTCAAGTTAGAAAAACAACATACATTAACGAATAAGAAAAAAAATTTAGTTTTCAGTTTAACGTGTAATAGCAGATGGTTAATGATATGATGTAAAATAAAAGAAAACAACTTTATTAAAGTATTTAAAATAGCTTTGATACATTTGCATACTACGATAAAATCACTCACATTATATGTTGGCTGCATCGATGCCTACTGCTCCTCTGAAAATGCATTGAATGGCCTAGCACCTGTAAGTGTATCTCATTCTACAAGTGATATTATAGGAACTTTAAATGTTTAGCCATTTTTATTAGTGCATTCCCTAAGTAAAATCACCTGTCACTTTATGTTAACACCGTTCCTAGCAAGTTTAACTAAATTGAATAACATCAACAGTATGTCACTGTGTCACATGACACACGCATTTAGGTAGACCTGATTCATATATTTTAGTAATTACTGCTTTGTTGTTCCGTGCTGTCTGTTTTCGTTTTAGTTTCTCTAGTTGTAGATAATTATCAATAATTCGATCTGACACACGAAATAACCTTAATTACTCCGTTCATAAATCAATGGGCTGTCCATTTAAGAAATATCAAAAATTCCCGGCCGATGCATTGGACTGCTGTAATACATGTCATAAATGTACTACCTAAACAATTACTGAACTAGTATACTTAAAACTTTCTTCCTTCACATGTTTGTTCTGTACATCTAATGTTAATATTTATATAAAATTGATCATGCCTGTAAACGGGCGTGAATTCTGTAATTATTATTTTCAGAATATAATTTATTATTATTATTATAAGTAAATGACTGTTTATTAAAACAAATAATATAAAATTCTGTAAATAAAATACATGAATTTTGAAATTTTAATACAACCGAATTCATTTCCGTTTAGTTTACTGTTTGTTAACAATAAACCAATACAATCTGAGTAAACTAACTTAACAATGACAACTAAATAGTTAAAAAGAAAATAATATAAACTTTAGTTTACAAGAGGAAAATCTATCCACTTGAGATCAAATGGGAGAAAGTTAATGACTGATTGATTAACTTATAAAAAAGTTGAGATAATAGATAGTTTAGAAATGATACACGAAATAATATGACATTGATAAGAGGAAATTTATATTATTGGGCATTATAGTAGAATATTTATTGAAACAATCGGTATGGGGTTGTAGAGATTGCTAAGGAGTCAGTCCCATGGTAGGACTAAGCGGCCATCCAGTGCTCCCAAGTTTTCAATGATGGTCTAACATAAATCCATTCATGATCTCATTTAAAAAATTAATTCGAATAGTCAATTTTCAGCATTTTAAAATATTATTCATCAAAACTGTAGATCAATTACACTAATAATGAGAATTGAAGAATGTTAGACAATATTTTTAAAAAAGTAATAAAAAAGTCTTGTTTGATCTACTTCAGCTCTAGCAAATCAATTACGTCATAGTTCCTCATTATATTCAAAACATATTTTAAAGTTAAGTATACAGGAAAAAACAAACAGAATTAATGAACTATAAAATTTAAAACATGACCTAATAGACAAAAGGCTAAATTTATCCAACTGTAAATATTCCACAGCGAATCCATTTTTGGATATCTGATTGAGTATGAATCTACTAAGATTATCAATAATCTTAAATAGAATTTAATTCATTATCTAGTTGGTAGTAACTTTCTGCTCTGGTTATTTACAGAAAACTCAGTGAGTTATTTACTTGCTTACTTACGCCTATTACCCCTCATGAAAGGGTATAGGCTGCTCATCAGCATTCTTCAAACAGCTCTATCCTCAACAATCCTCTCCACTTGCTGTTCATTCTTTTGATATCTACTTCAATTCGACATAATATGTCCTTTGGTCTTCTTCTTTCCCCCCTTGACTTCAACGATCCATGTTACGGCTTAATTCGCGATGCAGTTTGATGATCTCTGCAATGTATATCCTACCCATCTCCAGTGTATTTTACTATTTTCTTCTTCAACTGGAAACTGGTTTGTTCTCTCCGACAGTATGCTGTCAACGGACATTCAGTATCTTACGTAGACAATTGTTTATAAATGCTTGTACAGTTTTGATGATAGTTGTGGTAGTTCTCCACGTTCCAGCTACGTACAGTGGATCTGTCTTGACGTTTGTATTGAAGACTGCAACTTTGATGTTGGCTTACAAATAATTGAGTTCGATATGTTCTTCAACTGTAGGAATGCTGTTCTTGCTTTGCCAATCCTTGCCTTTACATCTGCATCTGACCTTTTTTGTTCATCCATGATGCTGTCCAGGTACATAAAATTCAATAACTATTTCAATAAATTTTAGGAGTTACGTACCGATCTAAGATGAACCGGTCTAACTTAAATGAGTTTGTGATTTCAATGAAATTCAACAATCCTCATCATCCCATACAGAAAATTTCGGATTTTTATCAAAGCCATAAATCAGCAAGTGACTATAAGAATCATTAACTTACAGCAAATTTACCTTCATTTTAACAATCAAGACAAGAATAACTTCGGATATGAAACAAGTTACTGAAACTGTAGATCAAATTAGTCTTTCATTTATATCTTTAATCTTTGAGATTAGTGAATGTGTTGAAGTCACTTATTAAGTTTCTTTATACATGTTCATATTTGAAAGGTGAACAAAATGAAGTTATGAAAACAAGACAAATCCATCAAAAGTTTATTATAATAACTCACCCTATGGTTGATGGAAGTCTAGATAACTTGTTTACATCTAAATTAAGTGTTTGTAATTGACATAATTGTCCAATGTTTAAAGGAATTGATTTAATTTGATTAGATTCTAATTCCAATTGTACTAATTTGACCAATTCGCCAATTCTATTTGGTAATCCCTAATCGATGGAATAAAATGTAAATAACCATGTTTGTACTGTGTTAAATGTAAATGGAAATAATTATCAAATGATCTGAATATACTTAAATTATGTAAATCAAGCCAGACATAAATTCAGATAACATTTCCATATCATAAAAAAATGATTCTATTCGATTGTTTACTGTAAACAGTATTTACTAACTGACAAAATAACATTCGAACCATTCTGTTTATTTCAATGTTAATGAACGGTACAAATTGCAGTTAAACTTAGATAAAAATAGGCTGACAAAAATGAAATTTTTAAGTATACGGTTTATTGATGAGTTACGTATAAGTCGCTTTATTCAAATAATTGACGTAAGAGTAATTACAGATGTAAATAATAAAATTACATTGTATTACTTATATTTTAATCATAAGCCAGTGTTAAATTGAAAAAAAAATTGATGCTTACCTACCTGCTTGTTATTTTTATTAACTTAGTCATAAAGTTCCATAATTATCACATGACTTAAAATTAATGATACTGTATGGAATCTTATTCAATTTGCTGTGTCAGTAATATTATACAGTATACACATGTAATTCATTTTAACGAATAAAGTTCATATTGTCCTATCATATAATGAATAAAAGACTCATCTCTCCATTTCCTTATAATTTGTGTTAACTACTGTTTTCTTAATCTCGTTGTTATATAATGTATTTATTTATTACATGCTTTAACCCCACCTGGGGCCCTAATAAGGTTACTATCAGTCCCATGCTAGAATAGAGGAGGAGGGTTGAACAAGAAGTTTCCAATACCAACCCGCAGAAAAAAAAGCTTGTTAAGAAACGCTAACTGTAAAAGGCTATTTGGATCATTTAAACTCTACCCTGAGAGTTGAAGGATCTTCATTAAGAAGAATTATGACGCCTTATAGTGAAAGCCAATATACCCCTTCTGACAACTAGATTAAAAATTTATAAAGGTACACGGAATGTCCAGACAATGTGGGAGACCGGCAAGACCATCTAAGTAGCTGTAAAAATGAAAAAAAAGTATAGCCCGGTGGTGCTTGAAATAATTCAAACCCGTTGGATGCAGGGTGAACAGAAAAGATTAGCATCCCGAGAGATGGTGTTACACTCTGGTCATAAAGAGGAAAATACTTCGCAAAAGCAACCCTCTGACGCTAGGCATTTCACTTTCACCTGATGATACATACTCTTATATCTGTCGACATCAGTAACACACACCTTATTTAATTACAAATGTTAGTTAAGTTCTATCAAATATTAGCTATAATATTATGAAAGAAATCATTAAAAACGGTCAGATTAATGTTAAGACGTAGCTACTAATCATAGGATTTGTCAAGTGCTTATATTTATAATAAGTACGTTTAACAGATTATATGCTTGATACTGATTAATTAATAAACACAGGAGAATTGAACATAAACAAAATGAACAGTATACTATATAATATTACCTCTAAGCGATTACTAGTCAAATCTAATACTTCTAAAGATACTAACTCGCCAATTGAATCAGGTAGGTGACCAATTTGATTATAGGAAAGATCTAATTCAACAAGATGTTTCAATGTTTCTATTCCTTCAAAAAGACAGAGTATAGAAAACATCAATTGATGTAAATGGGAAATAGTGAACAGTTCATCAAATCAATAAAATTGCTAAATAAATAACATAAATATAATCATTTAAAGTATGATAATTAGAATTAGAAAATAAGTCACATTTAAATATGACGTTTAGATAAAATGAAATGATTATTATAATCACACGATTATACATTAGTGATATCAGAATTTTCCCACAATTCATAATATCGAATATACTTCAAAATATATCACTGATCTTTGATGAAAATTTACAAGAGTAATAATTTATGATAAAATTCATCAAATATTGTTATGCATTTACAATTTGATAAAGGATAACATCTTGAAATGAGAAAAGAACAAATTATCAATTCACTGAAGAAATCTTTAGCTATTGAACACCGATTAGTATACAAAAATGAATACCAAACAGTTAGTATACAGTTGAAAACTTCCATCAGTTATTGTCTTCTTGTTAAGTGTGCCATAGTATTCATTATCTTAATTTATATTCTCGGATACCAAGTTTACATTAAATAATTAAATAAACCAAACACTTCTCTTATTGGAACAAATACTGTTCGTTTTTAGATTTAAAAGTTGTCGCCGTACTTTACAACAATAGACTATATAATCAAATTATTTACCATCTTTAGTACGTTTAATGCAAAAAAAGATAAGTTCATGATAAATTTATTGATAAAAGAAGAGGTAAATATTGAAACGATTGAAAAACAATAAATAAAAGTTTATAAGTTAACATTATTTCTGACGATAAATTAGGATTACAAGTAAAACCATGGTAATATACTTGACTAATTAGTATTTTCAGGAACCAGTTGACTGAAGTCGGATTTACATTTAATCTTTCAAAGATCAGTTTGCTGAAGTTATCATGTGATTATTAATATAAATATGTAAGGTTGCACTAACATCAAAGTTTCAACTGAAGTTATCAAGTTCGGTTAGATAAAATTTAAAACCTTATAGAAGGATAAAATTTTAAAATTATTGCTGATCTTGTATATAGAACAACATATTTTGTAGATACGTATCAAGATTTTGATAATGATTAGTGCACCAAATACTGCATTTTGTTCACGATAATCCAACAGAAACAATATAGGAGATATTTCAAATAGAAAGAAATATCTGCACTAACATTTATCACATTGATTTCATGGATTGTGTCGACCTTTTGTTTGAATAACATAATATTACTGTGAACAAATAATCGTTTCTAAACAAATTGGATAAATATTTTCTTTTCTTTATTGGCTACTTTTAATCAATGTTAAGTCAATAATAATAAAAAGGTTACTGTCTTTCGAAACTTTAATGAAATGGTGTTCATCAATATAGACTTCGCAGGTGTGAAAGATCATTGTAAACAAATTCGGGTTCATAAAGTACGATCAACAATGAAACTGTATGTTAATAAATGTTGAATTTAAAGGATAGAAAGTAAAAAACATTAGGAGCATTTGTCTAGAACGTGTGACTTGAAATATCTTTATGAGTTGTAAGAAATACATATAATGATAAATGATCACTTTTGGCCTTGTAATAGATGAAATGTACCTAGCAGTGGAATCCATGAGGCAGATTTCGTTCTGTTTGGGATTCGTCAACCGAGTGTACCTGCATTGACAACGGGATAATCCAAACCATTACAAACTAAAGATTAAAACACTTTTTGATTCCACAAGTTGAAATCATGAGTCAGTTGAAGCTAGACCACCATGGAAAACCTGAAAGCACTGGACGGCCGTTTCGTCCTGGCATGGAACTCCTCAGCAGTGCGCATCCACGACCCCGCATCTCGCGGGATTCAAACCCAGGACCTACTGGTTCCGCGCTCGAGCACTTAACCACTAGACCACTGAGCCGGCACCCAACGGTGTTAATTTCTGACTTCAACCAATCCATGAAGTTGCGCCACCGTACACCATTGTCTTCAGTGAGTTCCTATCTCACAACAGACCTGGTTGAACTCCACTGGTAACGACTTCTCACTGGAACTTCAGGAGTGTCTCCTGAAGTCAGTCACTAGTGAGCAGGTGATTATTATTATTATCAGAATGGGTTTTGTGGAGATTTTCAGAAATTTCACAGGTTGAAATCATGAGTCAATTGAAGCTAGACCACCATGGAAAACCTGGAAGCACTGGATGGGTTTGATTTTTAGTGAATTACAGTTTTTCATGCGAAGACATTGTTCCTAGGTGGTCAGTCACAATCAAGTTTAAAGTTCATACTTCATTATTCAATTTGTAAAACAAATGGAAATGTACATGTGTTTTGGATTCTCCTACAAAGTTTTAATACCCAAACTTATCACTCAAATTCTTGATTAGAGTTTACTATTCGTCTTTTCAGTAACGGAAATACCTTTTATAAAAAAGAACTGACTATTCACATCGTAAATGTAATGAACCACTTGATCATGATTTACAAACAGCCTATTACAAACAACATAGAGAAATAATTACAGTTATATAGAAATAATAACATGCACTGACATAATCCAGCAAATGGATATTAAAAAAATGTAAAACATGTATCTTCAGAACTATAACTAACATACAGCAAAGTAACAAGTAACCTAATTGGTTGTATCTATAAAATTTGAACAGTTAAGCTACGATGTAACCTTTGTGACAGCATCATAAATAAATTCATAGAATGTTTTAAAGTAGTTAATATGAAGAACGTTTACCTGTAAAGTCCAAAGTCATAATGTTATTGTTGCATAAGTTTAGTGTAGTTAATTGAGTATTTTCTGACAGCTGAACTGCTTCGAATATTTCTAAACGATTGTAATCCAATCTGAAATGCTTTAGAAAGGAAGCCGAAATAAGAAAATAGATAAAAATGATGTGTGACGATTTTACTCTGTCCTGGATTCCGCTGCTAGCTATCATCCATCTCTGTTTAGAAAGTAACTGTTATTGAAAAAACAATGTGAAACTCATGACGCCGGATAATAAATCAACGTTATCAGGATTGATTTAGAACGACGACAATTTTTTTTATATTTTCGTACAACTAGAGCTTCAATAAACTTTAGTTTACCCCTTGAATAACTTTTGTGCGAAGCCACAAAGGCTAAGCTAAGATTAGTCTTATGACCTGTTACAACAACGTGTTTAACGGCAGAGGAAAATGAATTCTTACTGGGTCATTTGATTTTGTTTGCTTCTGCAGTTATTTTGGTACATGTTTAGAGATTATAACTTACAATTATCGATTACTCTTATATTTGTATACATGACCATATGAAAATTCAATCGTCATTTATGTATTCAGAAGCAGTTTGTTCTCATCCTGATTCTATTGTGGTAATGTTGATTTATTATCCAGAGTGATGATTTTAACACTGTCCTTCAAATCACTTTTAACATCATTATTCTTTTTTCCTCTTACATTCCATTTTTATAGTTGACCTTTAATTTTTCGTATGAAAATGTTCTTATTGAGTATACACATGATCATATTGTTCGAAATGTATTGCGTTAATATATTACATAGTCCTAAAAAATCTTCGGCTTCCTTATCCAAATATATCAAAGAGATTAATTGCCTTAAAAGTAAATACTTCAACTGCGTTATAGCAGACTTAAAATACTGAAAACAAAGATTTCCGTAACACCTAAATTTTTTCTATCAAAAAACTCTGATAAAATAACTAAAACTAGTAAATTTAGTAGTTATTAACTTAAAGAAATTGTTTGAATAATTCCAGACAATAAAACTTATTTGTGATTACGATCATGAACCGATTGATGTTAGACCACCTTTGGAAACCTGGAATCACTGGACAGGCGTTTTGTCCTATTGTCGGACTCCTCGGAGGTGCGCATCCACGATCCCGCTCACGGGATTCGAACTCAGAGCCTTCGGTCTCGCGCGCGAACGCTTAACCTACTGGAACACTGAGCCGGCATCCGATAGTGATAGTGAATCTTGCGAGAGGGATCGTAGATGCGCACTGCTGAGGAGTCCCACAGTAGGACGAAACGGCCGTCCAGTGCTTCTAGGTTTCCAAAGGTGGTTTAACATCAATCGGCTCATGATCTCAATCAAAAACTTAATAATCTCCACAACCCCCATACTAACAAAACTTATTTTATAAAATGATTCAAGTTAAGATGCTGCAAATGATTTATTATGTGAAATATTAATCTTTCATACATTATGATCATTCATTATTGTATCCATTTTCAAATTAACTACTAATTTCAGATTTAAAAAACAAAACAAAATAACGGTTGGATTCCATATGATTATTTCTAAGAAAATATATTTAAGCAAATTTAAAAAATATTCTGATAAAAAGAAACCCCAAAAATGTATTATCAATGTGAAAACAAAAATTAAATAAAGGCACATTTGTACTTACTTTGACATTTATATACTGAGTTTTATCACCGATTGGGAAAGAATTGAAATCATTACGAGATAGTACTACAGAAAGTGAATCTTTTAAATGACACAATAGATTTTCCTATTCAATTAAATATACAGAAAAAGATAGAAAGAAAAACAGGTTCTAATCGTAAACAAGCCAAAGAAAAAATAATATTACTTAAATAGTAGAATTAGTAAATGAATATAGATTAATTATAATGTATATCTCGTAGTCAACGTCACAGTGTGATCCCAGTGAAACGTTCTTCATGCTTTAATGTGATAGATGTGATCAATTTTCTATGGCTTCAAAATAAAAACCGAAGCTTTTAATTTTATGAAAACATCAATTACCGTTTAGATTACTTAATAACTATACCTATCCATGTGTAGCAAGCTAAAGCATGTAAGTTTTTCAAAATTTCATTGATAATATTGTTTTTGCCATCCATGATATGAAGACAGAAGTGCGAGTACAAAGAAGTACGTTTAAACCCTATATTTGCCATAACCCTAAATTATTATCATTACATTTTATTTCTTATTTGAAAAAACCACCTCACCTCTTAAATTATTTCTCATAACCCCACGATTTTATTCATAATTATTTCTAACATCATTTTATTTCACTTAACCCTTCTATTATCTTTAATTATTGCAATAATAATACATTTTATTTATCTTACTCCATTCATATTACAAATCAGCTGCTAACTTATTTTTTCCTCATTTTTTAACCATCAATCAGGAAAAAGGTGTGATCAAAAATAATGATAAAGGAAACCAATAAATGAAACTATGGGAAAGGATAATTGTCCATATTTTCCAAAACTGTACAAAACATAAAGCAGAATCAGTAAGTGTTTAATGATTTTCATCTGCAACCATATAATTATGATTTTTTTACAGAACTATCTAGTTTATAATTAAAACCGGAAATGCCTATTAATATCATTGTGTTTAATGAAATGAATCATTAATATTATGAAATCAAAAAAATAAATTGATTTAAGGTACTCAAGAAGTAACCACAACAATGAATTTTCTACTTATCGATAATCAATTAAAATGTAATAATGAAAGTGACTGATTCGTGTGGAAACAACCAGCAGTATGTAGAAAAATTTATCGACAGTGCTATTCGAATAACTATCAGTATAAGGCTATGGAGGTTGTTGAGTTTTTATTGAGATAAAAAAGTCGATCAATGTCCGACCACCAATCAAAACCTGGAAGCACTGGACGAAGATTTCGTCCTAGTCCGGGATATTACAGAAGTGTTGATCCACAATCCAACCGATGGTACTCAAATCCAGGGCTTTCATGTTCGATATCTATCGTATAGTCATAATGTCAATAATATCTTTAAATATCTCATGATGTAATTTACCATCGACAAAAATGCCAAACGAATATTTTACAACTTTCTCTGCATTACTACTTACATATATGCTATACAAAATTACATTGCATGGCAGTACAAACAAAATTAAGCAAACTGACCGGTAGCTGAGTTATATGATTGCCTTCAATATTCAGTTCGGTCAATTTCTCGCAATTACATATTGTAACTGGGAGTTCACTTAAGCAGTTATATCTGAAATACAAAAATACATGTTTTTGACTAGAGATAATGAAGTTTAAAAATAAATATAGGACTGGTTTATATTTGAGTAATAAGAAAGTATGAATTACCAACTACTTTTATGTATTCCATGGAACCATTAAGTGGTAGTCACATACACACACATGCATATAGAACTTAACTTTAAGATGAAGAAATTGTACGATTCAATTATATATCTGCTGTATTTGTGTCTAACAAATCTTTAGCAAGTAAGTATACATCTGTGTATCGTTAATGGAATATTTTCTAAATACTAGCCAAGTTTTCATGGCACTAACTTGATATCTCAAGAAAGAAACAATCACACAAAGTTGAAGTTTTCGCACTAACTTCACATTTCAATAAAAACATCTAGAGCTACATTTTATAACAGCGGAATGTTTATCAACAGTTATGTGGTCATCTAATTTTAGATAAACTTAGAAGCTTTAGTAGTGGTCGGGAGTTGTTATTGTTACAAGTTCGGCAACTATACAATTGACTGATTATTGAACAGAGATTAATGCTATAATTATTTAATCCTTTAATTATTGATGTAATTCCATCGACTGAATTGTAATGAAACCAGTAGTCTAAGTAAAGCTGGCCGAAATGGTTTTGAATTTCCTAAGGAATATCAGTTCCTTCAAGATAGCAGGTACATCTAACTGACGAGTGTCAACTGGCACAAAACCTAGGTCCAGAGTTTTCTGCCAATAACTTCCAATCACATAGCGAAGCGACAGTGTTTAATTAAATGAACAAAATGACAAGTTTTTTTGTCAGTTAACAATTTAAAAAATCTTTTATGTGATAAAAAATGTCATCTTTCTGAAACGAAAATCATGCCAGTATTAATTCTTCTTCTGTATTACCGATAACTTTAACTTCAATGTAAAGATACGACATTCAAAAACTTGAAGTGTTATGAAAAATATTTTTAGACCAAGATTAAAATATTGAAGGTATGATTTCCTTTGAGTTTAATAAGTTTACTTGGAGAATATAACATCTTCAAAAGGTATCACAAAACACATGTCAAAAATTAATACCTGAAATCAGTCACAGTGATCTAAACTTTGATCAATTTTAGTCGTGTTCATTATATCTGCAAAATCTAATTATGCAATTATGGATTTCAGAAATTTTAATTTTAATAGTTTCTTTTAGCTTGTATAGTGATATTAAATGTAATAAGTTAAATTTCTAATGGATTTTTATCCAATAGGCTAATGAATTTCATTTTGAGAAATAATACAAACAGTTTAATTGTAAATGCACATCTTTACAATAATTAAAATATAATAAGGGTATAATATTAACATGATAGGTTAAGCTTTCACAATATATTCACATTCTTTGTTTCTTATTCAACTCATATAAATAAAACAAACTTTATGTAAATAGAAAAACAATCAACAAAACTCCAAAATATAAAATAATCGCACAATCAGAATACAAACTGAAAACTATAAATGTTTCCATACAAAACAAAACAACGAATTGATCAAAGTTTAATATGTGCTCTATCTGATTCTGACTTAATGATAAAAAGTTAATCTGCTAATTGTTAAGACTTAAGAAAAGTGATGAGTCCAATTCATTTGTGGAGTAGTAGTGTGGTGTATTCTATTTATGTCGACAAACATAATTATTATGCAACATCATTGGGAAGTGGAAAACCTGGCAGCAGAAGGCTAAGAAGATTGAGTTGAACAGAATAAAAGGGAAAATAGAAAGGCATTGTGAACTGGAGAAGTCATACAGAATATGAGGGACAAATAATGAAAATTTACAAATCAGGTATTTAGTGTATGCTTTTCATATTTTACCAAAAGATTCTGTAATTTTGTATCTAAACACAACTGGTTTCCCTCACGTGTGTTCTCATTCACAACAGTAGTAGTAACAGTATACTGATGTGTTGTAAAATCTGATCAATAACATGTAACTTGTGAAAATTGAACCCTTGGATACTTAAACAACTAAGTAACAAACTACGAATAAAAGGATATTCAGTAGAAAACCTACTTAATTCCTAGTACCGTAAGTTCCGAAAGTTGACCGATTGATTTTGGCAATTCATCTATTTGATTATAATCCACAAGAAAACGGGATAGCAATTTACAATTGCCTATATCTAATGAAAGAAAATAAGAAATATGTTGTTCACATTTAAACTAACTAAATTTATTTAGATAAACTATTGATGAACCAATTAATTAATTAGTTAAAAGATAGTTGAATTGTGTGCGATTTCAATTAATTTTTGTATTGGTTGATTGGATCATCCCATTGATGTTCAGGACCGCAACTGATTAGTCTCTTATTAGAATATGTATATCCATCTCTGCTAACAATACATGTGTTTCATTTTGTTCACCATGCTTTTGTAAATCATACGGAGCAAAAATAAACACAAGAAAAAATTCCAGCAATCATTATCATATAATTTTACATTGATGAAATAATGATAGGATTTATTTTGACTGTTATTATGGTGTACTCTCAGTTTTTGTTTTATCTAACCAATACTTTCGTTAACTCGATTTATTATTTTCAAACCATGAATAGTGATATCTTTCTACGACAAAGACATGATTATAAGGTAATATGAAATAATTCCAAAGGAAATATCATATGCATAATACTATGCTGTCAAGTAATCATGGAAACTATATGAAAGAGTTTGTAGGCATTAATAAGTTTCAGTTATAATCTGTTATCTCAATAGAGGTAGTTTGTAAAATAATAATTTTATCACTTATCTTTACTAAAATGAGTAGAATGCTTGACTTTGAGCACAACAATGTGTAATGGTACTTTTTCAGAAGACTTAGTAGATTCGAATGGTGTAATAAATTAGTATCAGTGTACTGAAATATGAAGTATATGCTCAATGTCAAGTTTTAACTCATCATTTACTGGTATAAAAGCTTGATGGAATGTTAGGTTCCAAAATATTATTGAATGACCATAAATATAGCTAATTTCGACTGATTATGAGGATTGTCTTCTTGATGTAACAATATCATCTGAAGGTTGGACGTACTCATAATTTCATACCTACTCATTGGTCCATAAGTATTCTCTGTTACATAAAAATGTTCTGGGTTCCATTCTGTGTAGATTTAGTATTATGTAGTTTCCAAGAGTTCTCGATTTTAAGTTAATCCATGACGAATGAAATTAATTTTGTTAAACTGCTCAAGTAAACTTCTAACAAAGTTCCAATATTATTTAGCGTCATTAATTCATTTGAAATCAATCATCTTGAAATTTATGTAAAACTTCAAGTTGAAAAACTAATTGCCTTTTTATTTCTTTCAAAAACTCAGAGTGGAAAACATCAGTTTTTGGATTTTTTTTTAAAGTAAGTACTTTCTTGGGATTTCTATATATCAGAACATTTAATTTACATTTTTTCAAACACTGTTTACTAACTTGTTATTATTATAATCTATAGGAAACATTAGTGTTTTGCAATAAAAATCACTCGATTGTTATTTTTATCAGTTAATAATAAAAGAGGACATTTAAATTGACCCAAACAAAAAATGCTGAATACGTTAAATAACTATTGCTAGTAGGGAAAACTAATTTTTATCCAAAAATACTATACAGATTAAGATCGTTTTTTATGTAATGGAGTCAACTTCGACTGACCATTAAAAAATCCGAAATGATTAGTCTCAAACAATGTATAGAAACTTTGAAAGATAATAAGGTAGATTTGAAAAGCGTATAAAACAGAACCAGATAGCAAAATGAACCTCGTAGCTGATCATAAATCAGTTCAATATACACTGCAAACAAATGTATATACATTTAAGTTGGTAATCAAGGACAAAAGTATAATATATTGACGACCTTAAGCGACTTATCAGTCAATCAGGAAACACTGCCTTGCTATAAAATGATTAACAATAAAAAGCAATAAAACAGTGAAAGAGTGGTCTTGATATGATTGATCATCCTTTACACGTTAAAGTGTTCATTGTATTAAGGTAATGAAGTTAAATCTATATATTAGGAGTTAGGCTAGGGTTATTTGTTAAGGTTATAACACTATAGGGTTTTCATCCACAACTAATAACAGCTATGTTACAAAACGGTTGGCGTCAGGTAATACAAGTGAAACTAGAATTTTATGTTAGGGTTACATATTATGGATATGGTATTCATCACGAACCGATGTTAGTTAAAATACAATGATGTTTTACCAACCTTTTATTCACAAACTTAGGAAACTTGACGTTGAGATTTAAAATCAGTAGTTAAGAAAATACTACTAAATCATACTAATTAATTAAAACAGAATCTGCATCAGAAGTTGGTATTTCATGTGGTTTGGCTTAAGCACTAAATTCTGTTGACTGTTCGATTGCGTATTACACATTTTTATCGTTTTCAAGCATCTCATAAACAAAATATTGTCAATTTTTACTTATGTCATAACAATATACAAGCTGTCTAGCACTGCGCCTTACATTCACGAAAAAATGTACGAGATGCTATCTCAATTCTGATTAGTTTACTCAAGGCCGTGAGCATAGTACACTTTTTACTGTGTGCGTATTAAATCAAAAATATAGAGCACAGAAGACGTTCAACTAATACTTTGCTGCGCTTTCATCTGAAAACTATCACCAAGCTAGTAAAACATAAAAAGTAGGATAAAAATTAACCATAGAATTTTTTTAATACGCAACAATGCCTTATTAGTACAGCAGGTTTTTGGAAATTTAATTTACCGACTATATTACAGACTGATTGTTACCTACAGATCGATCATTGGTAGAGTGGTGAATACTTACTCCTGAGAAATCCTATACACAAAAAGAAATAGCGATGTAATCCTTTTCTGTTTTTCATGATTGTGTAGTTAAACCCAGATCATCACGTAAAAAACAAACAATGGATTACTTTTCATACAACAAATTAATAATGGATTTTTAATGGTTAACGGTAAAGATAATAGAACGTCATCTTAATGACACATGATTACTAACAGTCAAACTTAAGCTTCCAGCTATTGTTTCCTTTTACTATAAACTATACTTCTTTGTACATATATCTAGTGTAATTAAGAGTGAAATTCATAATTCATATGTTACTTGTAGCGAACATAAACCTGATATTCAGTAACGTATTTTTGTTTACTTTTCATATGCAGTATTATATTACTCAATCTTTATCGGTAGAAAAAACCCTCGAGATGGGACAAAAACCCTTAAAATCTACGAAATAATAAAAACTGGTATTATTCTGTATTTGATTAGAAACACAAGGTAATGAACCTAAAATAACTCGGTTTTTCAGAAATTTACGTGAGTGTTTTATACGAGTTGTTATACTTATGTATTAATCAAAATGAACTTCGTACACTGATAACAGTAATAACAATAATAATCATGGCGAAGAAAACACGATATCACCATTGAATGTCTATTCAAATATAAATATTTAAAATCTACTATTCGTTATACATTTGATACTTCAGTGCCATAATATGTACTTGAGACTATTTAGAAAAAAAAAACAATTTTGAGGTAACTGAACACTTGAGTTAATGAGTACTGGTAATGATTATGTTTTGAAGTGCAATTACAAACCATGGAAGTTGTTAAGAATAGATTTTTACAGTTTTTTTTTAATATCAAAAAACGGTTTTTTTTTAAAAAAAAATGAAGTAAAGTCTTTCATTCTATTATGTTCTTATTGTCCATTGTATTAGCAAAAACAATTTTACAATCAGGGTATCATGAAAACTGAAACAATTAAGCTTAATGAATAAAAAAATATGATAAAGCTTTAAACAAAATAAACAAACTTGACATTTAATTGTTATTGTTTTTTTTTTTTTTTATAGTTTCAATCAACTTTGATCATGTATATATGCAAATATTACCTTTAAATATATAAAATAAATCTCTTTATTAGCGTTCATAAACTTGTATCAACTACAAAGAACAAAAATTTCATAAATAATACAATAATTAGTAGAATCATTCATAAGATATTAGGTAATTGAAAATAAGATAAACATTTACATCTTTTAAAAAAAAATCGAGTTCCTTTGTATAAATTAAACTATATCACAGACATAAACTTTTTTTTCTCAAAAAATGATGTATCTCATTAGATAAAATCATCATTAAAATTAATAAATTATTATTACTGTTATGTTAATATTAATGAACTTAGGTTTCCTGTTCACAAATTTCACAATAAAACATTAAATTAGTTTTTGTTTATAGGATAACTTTAACTAGTCAATTACTAAACAGTAGAAAGAGTTGGACAACTGTTTTTTTACTAGTTTTATACTTCTCATTAATGTATAACAATGACTATATGTGTGACTAAACCCATGATCTTCAAGTTTCATAGTGAAAAAGTTACTTTTAGATCATTTAGTCAGTAAGCAGTGGTTTGTGTATTCAATTAGTAAATTCCTGATATAGTGGGACGATTATACAATGTCAGTAATGATTCTTATAACACTTGAGACCTGATGGAACCTGGTTATGTCATGTGGTTCAGGGAAAGTAACACCACTAAACGTAATCATAAACAACCTAAAACATAGAACATATGAACATCATTTAAGATGTCACACTAAACCAGCACAACAAGAATAAATTATCAAGACAAATGCTAGAGTAGTAGGAGAAGTAACAGTGTCGATCATAGTTATAAACATTTGACATAGATAATATGATTCTATGACAAGGAATTAATTAATCTTCAACAATTTACATTCAGTAGTATTTTGATAGGGAAGACTGACTCTCCAAACAGTAATTCATAAATTTTTAGTTTTTCCTCGCATATATTGTGCTGAAATATTAAGAGTTAATTATAAGAACTTTTGTCGGTAAGACTATAATTTATGAACGACCTTTGAGTGATGTTAAAATGACCTTGAGAATATCCACCTACTTACTGGGGCTAAATGATGATTATAAAGCAGTGTGAAGAATAACGATTAAGATTTATAGTTGATGATTAGGGCTAGGAATTAGATTTATTTTCATCACGAACTGACATCAGCTAAAATGTCAAAACGTTATTTAGACAAATAAGTGAATGAATTTCGCGCCAAAATCCAAGACCCGTTATCCTAATTCTGATTGG